TGCAGCTTCCACTGGGAACAGCAACTTCAGGTTCTCTGGTTTCTGAGTCAGGGTTCTGAGCCACCTCCTCTGGTTCATGGTTACCCTGAGGCACGTCAGCCTCCTTCCTCTGTCCTAATTGCTTCCTGCCAAGAAAGCTGCCTTCTCCAGGTGTCCTTGAGGAAACCCTTGTAAAAGCAGTGGAGCGTCTCAGAAGGAAGCCAGTCCTCCACCTGCCACTGCCCCCAAACCCCTCCCACGATGCTCCTATCATGCCTGGGTCAGTGTAGGAACTCCTGTGAGTGGTGGAACAGGGTTATACTACAATGACTCTGACCAGCAGAGCAGGTGAGGGCTGAAATCCATCCTGTGCTCTACTTGTTAAACTGAGCACACTGGGATGACATTTGTTCAGGGGTGGGGGTGGGGTTGGTTGGTTGGTTGGTTGGTCAGTCTCTCTAGGGTCTCACTATGTGAACCCACTATGTAAACTAGGCTGGCATTCCCTCTGTCTTTCTCGCTCTCTCTATCTCTGAGACTGGGTTTCTCTGTGTAGCTTGGCTGTCCTGGAACTCACAGAGGTCCACCTAACTCTACCTCCTGAGCACTGGGATTAAAGGCATGCACCACCATGCCTCTCTGTATTTTTCTAGTAAGTTCAAAAGTGCTGTTGGTTGCATAGCTGTGTGCTTACTTCCACTCAGAAGAGTGCGTTTTCTTGATTTGCACAAAAGCAACATGATGGGAGATGTCATTCTGTAAATATGTTTCTCTTATTGGTTAATGAATAAAGCACTATTGGCCAAAAGGAAAGCAAGATAGGTGGGACTAGTTGAGAAGGAGAAGAGAGGAAGTAGTAAGGAAGGGTCAGCATGGAGAGACAGGAGAGAGCTGAACGTCGGCCCATCTCTCCGGTAAGATGAGACCACGTGGAAATACTTAGATTAATAGAAATGGGTTACTATTTAAGGCAGAGCTAGCCAATAAAAAATGCAAGTAACTGGCCAACAGCATTATATCTAATATAGTGTCTCTGTATATTATTTGGGGCGTGGCGGTGGGACCAGATTGGCTGGCAGGAAAAAACATAACAGCAACCCATGAACCATTACCCAGTTCGTAGTCATCAGTTACTATGCACTCATTTGGATTCTTGGGATGTCTTCAATCAGTGTCTCCTGCCATTAACATCCTTCCTGGAATGGTAGGACACTCCTGTAATGCCAGGGCTCAGAAGGCTAAAGAAGGATTAGGAGAGTAAGGCCAGGCTGGGAGACTGTCTTAAACAAACAAATAAAAAAAAAATACAAACCATTGCCCATAGAGTCAGTTGCCAGTTTGGAGGCCAACACCTTAAAAAAAAAAAAAGGCTTATTTATGTATTTTATGTATATGGGTGATCTATTTTCATATATGTTGCATGACAGAAGAGGGCAACAGACACCATTTGAGATGGCTGTGTACCACCATGTAGGTGCTGGGAATTGAATTTAGGACCTCTGGAAGAGCAGCCAGTGCTCTTAATCACTGAGCCATCTCTCCAGCTCCAAGCCCAGATCTTTTTATGTTTGCATCTTAAGCAAGTGTTCGTATATCCCAGGCTCTGCTTGAACTCAGTAAAGCAGACTAAAATGACCTATGCTGCTTCCTCTTTCCAAATGCTGGGTTTACAGGATGTGCCACCGTATCCATTTTAAGCAGTGTGGAGGATTGAACCCATGGCTTTATGCATTCTGAGTAAATAAATACTTTACTAATTGAGCTGCATCCCCAGCCTGGCCCACGTGTCCTGAATTGCTTGCCATTGGGATCCTTTGTGATCTGTTTCCCTTTTTCTTCGAAGTAGCTTTGGGTCCATATGCTATATGACTAGATTCCCCACCAGACCAAATATCCAGCTTGGCCCAAGGAGGCTTCTGAGGTGCTCTGTGAACTCTTCTGAGGGCCTCTTTCCCTTTGCCCCACTTTAGCCCTGCCCTCCAGTTTAGGAAAGATGACCAAGAGGCCTTGCACAGTCACAACCTTTTATTCATTGTCAGTGGGGGAAACACACACCACATGGCACAGGATTGATCAGTGAAAACGGTTGCTGTGGGCACAGCTTTAAGCGGTACATCTGCAGGGGACAGGGGTCTGCTTCCTCACTGCTGTTGCTTAGAAGGCCCTGGACCCGGCCAGCTTCCACCACACAGAGACCCATGCATCCTGGGAGGCCCTGCCCTGCCCCCACACTCTGACAAAGCTAAGAAGAGAAAACCCTGAAAAGTCTAGAGAGAGAAAAAAATCCCATGTTTTTCTAAGTCTTTTAAATTGAGCACATGAATTCTTTCTTTCTTTTAGAACAATGAAGGAGCTATGTAAGAAATTTATTCTTAACCCCATGGTGATTTCTGAAGACAACACAAAGCCTCACCCAGGGTGGATCTTCAGGAAATAACTTTTGCTTTAATACATTTTTGTGTAAAAATATTTACAGTGTCAGCTCATTACTGCCCTGCCTAGGATGATCAGCTCGCTCTCTCCTCCTTCCTTGCTCCATGGCCTCCTGTGTAAAATGGATTTCTGCTTCTTAGGCACTGCCATTTCCAGGGCAGAGAAGAATTAGTACCTTTGCTAACGGGCTTGTTTTTATTTTCTTCTTCACTTTAAAAGGAAATCCGTAATTATGCTGCTGCATAGACTGGCATGGCACCTGAGCAAAGCAGCCTACACTGATGACTTTTAGGGATGAGAAATAAGGAGCTCATCACGTAGCCAGGAAGGATGAATGAGGATCGCAGGTATGAGGAGGCTGAATCTGGAACCACGGTGATTCACAGAACTTCTGTAAGAGGATACAAAGCCTCAAAGGAGAACTTGGACAGATTGATGTTTTGACTGCCTATGTATTTTCATGTCTGTGCAAAGTCATGCACAAAGCTCTGCTAGCCTTGTGTTTCCCAAGATGGAGCCTAGATGGGAGAACTATCTCTCTTCTCAAGGCGGGGATGGGTGCTCAACCACCTGGTCTCCTGGGCATACAGTGCCCTAGACACCCAAGACAGTGTGGGAGCAAAGCCTAACCTGCCTATGGCTCCTCCCATCAGTAAGAAGGCAGAGATAGCTTTGGGTCTGTTGAGCTGTCTGAAACCCTTGACCTAGGTAGCAAATATTGCCATGAGTAGGCAGCCAGAAGCCTAACGTGATCAGTGCTTATCACCTTGGAAAAACAAAGCAGTTCTCTCAGGAAGGTAGGCAGTGGGGAAGACGACATAAGATGCCTCCAGGATTTGGTTAACAACCTCCAAGAACAGCACTGGTCCATGTGAGACTGCCAGGAAGCAGAAAAGAGGATGCTTGAAAATGGAAAGACTTCAAGCTCCTCATCCTTTTCGGAAGAACATAGCCTCAGAAACTTCTTGGCAGGAAGCTTCTGAAAGACAAAAGTCAGTTTGTCCTGCAGTCAACATCTGAACAAACATACACAGAAATGAATGGGGCAGAAGAAGTCTTCTAGAGAGCCTTGTGTTTAAGTCTCGACACTGTGTCATCTCCTGGCTGCTTGCTCTCACCAAGAGACCTCCCCATCCTCAACCCTTAACCTTAGCTTCCAAGCCTGGGGTAAAGGTCGTAAAACCCATCTCCCTGGGCTGGGAGGACAAAATGAGATTCAAGTAGATACAAGCCTTTGCAAACCAAAGAATTCTGTATCATTGTCATGGTGAATTCAGCTAGATTCAACATTTGGGGGTGAGGTGAGGAAAAGCTTTTCACTAGAAAATTTAAGTCCCAGCTGAGCCAGGCTGCTGAGCATTTATGTATCTGTGATGCTGATGACAGCACAAGACACACTTTTAACAGGCAGCTCACGAGAGTTATGGAACAGCCCCATGAAGCATCCTAGATAAACACCTGCTAGCATCACTGGAGGCTATGAATTCCTCAGCCTCACCACGTGTCCAGGATAGGCAGGATAGAAAGAAGGTGGCTTGCTACTTCCAAACGCCAAAAGAAGGACAGTCTAACAGAAGTTTGGACTGCAGGTCAGACTCTCCAAAAGTTTCTAGCAGCAGCAGGGAGCAACCTTGCTGCAGGGCAATCTCCGCCACCACACACCCTGCCTCACAAGCATTTTCTACTCCCACCCTGGCTGAGATCATCTGAGACAGTTTGCGCAGCAGTTCAAGAGGAAGTCAACTGTCACTGCATGCACGTCAAAGCTAACTCCAGATCACAAGCACAAGTAAAGTGAAGAATTGGAAGAAGCAAGATGGGTTTCTCTGGAAAGCACGCAGCATGATAGTTGGCTCATAGACCCTAAAGAAAGCAAAGCTGGTGAGCTTGGAAAGTGATGGATTTGTTTACCTGGCAGATCTAGGGTGGAGGGGTCAGAAAAAGCCTTTCACGTGGAGTTTGTACGCCTAGCACATTCTAGGCATTTGGTCCATAAATACAGCCCAGAAGCCTGAATAGTGGCCAGATGATCTTTCTCTTCTAAATCCTTCTGCCTGAGGCTGTGAAAGAACAAGCCAATCCCTGAAATCAAACCAAACTCAGAAACAAGCCACTGAGATGTGGGTATGAACTAGCCTGGCTCCGGGTTTCCATCTCTGACATCAGGGCCCAAAGTGTGAGACAGAAAGTCGCTTGTGGAATTGAAAAAGGTAATAAAAGGAAGTAGCAGAAGCAAGGACTCCTGATGGGATGGGCCAGTGCAGACTCTCAAAGTCAGGTGGTAGCCCCACCCCTTTTGCCTAAACATTCCCCCCTTGAAAATTAGCATTTGTATATTCATTTAAATCATTTTTATAAGAAACCAGGTAATATAGAGTATATTTTAATGGTCTAATAAAATGATCTTAGCTCTTTGAAAGGGCACTAAAAAAATAACAATTTTTATTTCTCTGAAAACTTCTACCCATGTGGCACAGGCTTTTCATTTGGTCTTCCTGCAGCTTTGGGGGTGCTAGCTGGAGGACACACTTGTTCCAACTTGCCAGCTGCCTTGCACCCTCATCTCTGTTGTGCCCCACATCCCTAAGACCTCAACCTCTGGAAGTTGTCTCATTACCCTGTGAGCTTCCAGAAGGCGTGGAATGTGTTTTTTGTAAACAACCGTATTCTTAGCACCATCAGGTGCCTGGCATTGAACAAGTGCTCAACAAGCATTAGCTGAAGAAAGGACTCAAGGACTGTTCCAAAGGCTGGGCCAGAGGAGCCAGGTAGAGTCAAAGGGGCAGGGCGGAGACCACCTCTCAAGGAATCTGGAAAGGAGAGACCCAGTTTGGCCCTTTGACTAGGGGCCTGTGGGGCCACACCGTTTATTTAAAGCAGAATCCTGGGAACAACAGGAACTCGAAGCAAGTCCTCAGCCCCTCCCTAACCTCGCCTCTTGGGTCAAAAGCCAACTCCCCTAAGCCCAAAGGATGTTGGTTCTAGGCCAAGGTTGGAGGTGGAGCTAGTGACTATCTGAGGACAGGCTACTTGAGAGGACCCGTCTCTTTTGCAGAATGAGGTGGTCCCTCATAGTACCTGACTGAGGAGAGAAAGGCTTGGGTGAAGGAGTGGGTGATAGAGAGTGAGGCTGGAATGCCCCTCCCCCTGGGGATGGGCCAGCAGAGAGGACATCAGGTTGGGAGGTGCCATGCCTGTCCTGGCCAGGGGCCCTGCCCCTCACCAGCCTCTACTTCTGCATGTCACACTGCAACAGCAACACAATAGATGGGTCACTCTTGGCTGCCTCCTTGAACTCCTCCAGTGTAATCTGGTCATCCTTATCCTGGTCCATCTTTTTGAAGATCTTGTCCACACGCTGCTGGGGTGTGAGCCCATCCTGGTTCATTCGCATCATGATCACGGTACCCACCATTTTGTAGATAGCCTGATGGAGCAAAGACAGAGGTGTGAACACCCAACTGGCAGGGAAGACTGAGAGGATACTGGAGGAGGGTGACGGATGACACTAAAAAGAGACACATGGTTGTTAAGACTGGCTCTTGAGGGCTGACTAGATGGCTCAACAGTAAGCAGCTTACTGCACAAGCCTGATGACCTGAGTTTGGTCTCCAGAACCCATATAAATGTGGAAGGAAAGGACTGACTCCACAAAGTTGTTCTGGAACCTCACACAATGCTGTGGAAATGCACCCCTCCCCATCAGGTGCATTCAAAGGCTGACTCTGAACTCATGTAAACCATGCTAGCTCTGAATTCACAGAGATTCACCTCCCTTTGCCTACTGAGTGCTGGGATTAAAGATGTGCACTAACTCCTAGTACATGAACTGGCTTTTTGGAGCCCATTCCCTATGGAGGGACACCCTGGTCAGTCTAGATACAGGGTGGAGGTGATGATTCCTCATGGGAGACCTCACCCTCTAGGAGGAGGGGATGGGGGATAGGATGGGGAGATGGTGAGGGAAGTGGAAGGATGGGAGAGAGAGGAAACTGGGATTGGTATGTAAAATAAGATTGTTTTAAAAAGAAAAAGAAAGCATACACCAATACACCAATCAATTAAAAAAATTTAAAAATGACTACCTAATAAGCACTTTAAATGAATCATGCCTTAAAACTCTTTAACCTACTTCTCACCTGTTGTGCCTCTAGAATTCTGCCTCAACCAGTAAGGACTTCACTCTGCCAGATTTAAAGGCAATGTTTCACCCAGGCTGGCTTGGAACTCAATTATGTTGCTTAGCTTAGTCTTGAACTCACCATCCTTCTGTCTCAGCTTCCTGAGGGCTAGGATTGCAGCGGTGGGCCACCATTCTTAGTTCTCACATCATTCTTCTCTCCCCTCCTACACACACACACACACACACACACACACACACACACACACACACACACAATCCTTCTGCATTATTCTTCTCTCCCCTCCTACACACACACACACAATCCATCGGCAAAAAAATGTCAAGTCTGATTTTGTAATGGGCCCTATATCCACTTGTCCACCATTTCCACAGTTCAAGCACAACTGCAGCCTCCACCAGCTCCTGACTGGATTTCTGTGGAAGTCTCACTGGTCTGCCTGCCTCTTCTGGCCACACTGTCCTCAATGATCTGATCTCCACTCTCAGGATACACTAAATGCCTCTACCCTGGCCTGAGCCACTGATGGGACTCCTGGCTCCCTGTGGGACCATCTTCCTGCCATTCTCCCTGCTGCTCACACCTATACTACTGCCCCGGCCTCCTGCCTCACTGTGAGCCAGGCAAACACAACTTCACCTGCACGATGGTTTACTTACTTAGTGATTTACTAGAAGGATCTCCTATGAAAACACATGGCAGACACTTATGTTTTTTAAAAGCAAAACTACCAAACAAACAACAACAACAACAACAAAAAAGTCAGGCACTGGTGGCGCACACTTTTAATCCCAGCAGTCAGAGGCAGGTGGAGCTCTGTAAGTTCAAGGCCAGCCTGGTCTAGAGAGCGAGTTCCAGAACAGGCTCCAAAGCTACATAGAGCAAGGGATGAGGTCAGGCTAAGGTCAAAGGACAAATGTGTAGGAATTGGTTCTCTCCTACTATGTGGGGTCCCAGACAAATCCAGGTAGTAAGACCTGGCAGCAAGCAACTTTACAAGCATCTCTCCAGACCTCAGTACTTCTTGAAAAAAACAAATGAATTGACTTGGCTACTCTAGATTTGACTCAGTGTTGGCTGCCACATGCTTCATTTTGTTCATCTGGGGAAATGGGGTATCTGACATTATCTACCCCATGGGCTAAAAAGCAAGCAAATGGGCCTGGAGAACTGTGGTGGGAGAACACTGGGGAGCAGCTAGGAGTCTCCTGAAGCTCAAGGACACTGGACGCCCACCCTGGCCCCCCCGCACCTCAATGATCTCCAGCATCTCCAGGCGTGTAATGCGCCCATCACCGTCCAGGTCGTACATTTCAAAGGCCCAGTTGAGCTTCTGCTCGAAGCTGCCACGGGAGGTGACAGAAAGGGCACAGATGAACTCCCGGAAGTCGATGGTGCCGTCGCCGTTCTTGTCGAAGGTGCGGAAAGCATGTTGTGCAAACTTGGAGGCATCTCCGTAGGGGAAGAACTGAGGCAGGGGTACGGGTTATTGGGGTGCAGCGACAGCCCCACCCACGCTGCCTATCACATCCCTTTGAGTCCCACCAGCTCTCAGGTCCCCATCCACCCCGCCATGCCACGGCCAGCCCTGCACCTTGATATAGAGCTGCTGAAACTCCTCCAGGTTGAGGATGCCGCTGGGACAGTCCTTCAGGAACCCTTTGTACCACTGCTTTAGCTCCTGCTCGCTGAACTCGGTGTTCTGGACCAAGTCTTCTAGCACCTCGGGGGCCAGCTTGCTGTTGTTTTTCCCCATGGTGGGCCTGCGGGACAGAGAACTCCCTCTGCAAAGTGTCTCTCCACCCTTGCCCCACTTGGACCTTTCTTCACACTCCCCTCCCTTGAGGAGCCCTTCTTCCTAAAGTACCCCTCTTCCCACAACAGCCCCTCACTCCCTGGCCACCCACTTCCATTAGCCCTACCTTCCTTCAATCTTCACTCACCCCTTCTCAAAGGAAGCCTATTTTCACTGGGTAACAGTCTCCCTTTTCCCACAGCAGGACGCCCTCTCCCCTCAAAACACTCTGCATCCCAGAGCAGACCTCTCTGGAAGGATTTTCCAGCCTTTCCTGGTGGCAACAGATTCCCTTGGTACAGTATGGCTCAATCTTCATTCTCTCTCGGCTCCTACCATTCACCATTCCCTAGCTCCCTAACTTAAAGCCTCAACTAATCTCCCTGCTGGCAAGGGCTGTCTGCATTCAGCACCCTCCCTCCTGGGCAGACTTCTCTTCTATCAAAGTCCCCCAGGAACCATTTCCCAAGTTGTTCTTCCAGGCCTTCCTAGGAACCCCACACAGGAAGCATCTCTCTCTCCTTCCTTCCTCCCTTCCTGAGTACAAGTAGAAGGCCTAGCCTGGAACAGTGATGGCCCTGATTGCATTTTGCTTTTCATTAACCCATTCACTCCCTGAGCATTTGGGGGGGGGCCTGGACTTGGTATGAAGATAAAGCTAAGATGATCCAGCCTTCAGTAGCTCATGCGAGCTTTCTAGAGATAGATGACTGTCTGCAAGAAGCCTTCAATCCATGCCAACCTAGAGTTTTGTTTTGTTTTTTCAAGATAGGATTTCTTTGTAGATTTGGAGTCTGTCCTGGAACTCACTCTGTAGACAAGGCTGGCCTCAAACTCACTGAAATCTGTCTGTTTCTGCCTCCCCAGTGCCAGAAGTAAAGGCATGTGCCACCACCGCCCAGCCAACCTGGAGATTTTAAAGCAAAGGTTTGGAAGCTAACATTCATTCCCTAACACCAACACTCACAATATGCCAGGTCCTTATCTATGTCCTGGAAATCCAGAGATTTTTTAAAATTTCCTTTGGCTGCAATGTGCAAGATGACTCGAGGGTGGGGCTGGAAAGATGGCTTAGTCGTTAAGAGCACTTGTTGCTCCTCCAGGGGATCCAAGTTTGGTTCCCAGCATCCATGTCAAGCAGCTCACAACCATCTGAAACACCAGTTCCTGGGCATCTAACACCTCTGGCCTCCAGGGCACCTGTACTCATGTGCACATACAGGCAGAAACACTCACCCACACATCATTAAAAATGATAAGATGAAATCTTTAATAAAAGATGACTTGAGGAGGAGAGTGGTTAGCTGTACGAGGAGGAGCTAGGCATACAGTTTAAACGGAAAGATGTGGATGGACTGACAGGTGCTAAAACAGAGCACTTCCAGCCCTTGCTGACTGTATTTAGGAGAGAGATGAACACAGAAATCAAGGCAAATGTTCCCCAAGCTAGTTACAAGATATTTCTGGGCCCCAGGATCCTCCTTTGAGTCATGAGATCAAGGAGCAGTGAAGGTGGCAACATCCTTCCCTAGCTACTAACCTACCACCCCAAGAAGATGAAGAAGTCCACAGGAGAAGCCGAGGAGAGGGAAGAATCCTATCTTCTGGAGCTTGGACCAGGGCCAGAGTCAAGGGTGCCTCTGCACCACCCACCTGTAGGCAGAAGTGAGGAACTATCCTCTGCTGCCTCCTCCCCCAATGATTGTGTAAGCTTCAGGAGTAAGGATGTTGGAAAGCTCGGAAGCAAAGGTGTCTAATGGAGGAGGCAGAACCTCTCCCGTGGCTCCTGTAGGATGTGCCTGAGTGTCTGCATGAGGGGCTGGGTCTATGTGTAGGAGGGTGTCAACGTATGAGGCTGCAAATCTGTCAGAGCACACACGTCTCTATGTGTCATGGTGTCTGTGTGGTCCTCACCTTCTGCTCCCTTTCTTCTCTCTTCTCTCTCCTGTGCTACCTTCCCACACTTCCGTCTTAGAGGTCCTTCCCTGTGCCACGCCCCTACTTGGCCCTAGACCCAGTGAGGACCAGAAAACACCTCCCTTCATCTCTCTCAGATTGTCAGAAAGTCAAAGTAGGCAGAACCCTTTGAGATCATCCCCTTGTTTTAGCAAAAGAAATAAAATTGAGAGAGAACAGTGTCTTAGACAGGGTGTCAGTCAGTAGAAGGGTTCCACTGCGCATCCAGGCTGAATCCATACCAACTGCTCAGCCCGTCCTTTCTACATGATGATAGTTCTTTCTCAGCTCAGACCTTCTCTACCTCCACCTGCCTTCTGGGGAAAATAGCTCTGAGCTTGTGGTCTCAGTGGGACCATTTTGCCTGAGCTGCAGCCCATAGTCTCTAACAGGGGGACTATCGTTCCATTCTAGTGAATGCCCACAAGCAACTTTGAGTCAGCATGGCTACAGCCAGATTCACCATCAACTTGAACAACAGTTATCTTTCCCCACCTCTCTGTCTCCCCCCTCCCCCACCTGTCATTCACCTCTGGGTGTGGGGTATAAGGAAAGGAAACAGACCCCATGGGCTATTTGAGACGTCCCCCTTTCTCTAGGTCCAGCTTGTCATCAGGTTTTGAAATGTTCCTGGAACCTCTGCTATGCCCATGAGCAGGCATACCACTCACCATGTTGAAGCCCAGCCAAAGCTTTGTCAGACCAGGCCTATGGTCACAGGGCTTACCCGTCCTGCAGGAAGGGACTTCCTCCTGACACCTCTGCTTTAAGGGATGATCACCCCTAGTTACAATGTAAGGTATAGGTGACACTCTGAGGCTCCAGAATCATCTAGAATCTTGTTCAAAGCTGCTCACCTGTTGATCTTCAACCCCAACTGCTCACCCTGTCACCGAATACTCTTCCTGAGCCAGGCATCTCTGAGACAGACCCCACCTCACCTATGTGCTTACATAATGTCTCTCCCTTAACCCTCTCTTCTCTGGACAGACACAAGTGCCAGCTGCCATCACTTCTTTTGCTGCCGCCTTTCCCCTTGCAATCAGTTCTTCCCAAGCTGGGCAGTGTACTCTGGGCACAGGCAGACCTTGTGTAGAACCCTTCCACATACACCATCTCCTGACCCTTATCTAGTATCCCAAAGGAGGCTTTTGTATTGCCCCAAACAGGGAGAGTACCCAGGTCTTTTTGGCTAACAGTTTTCCCCTTCCAACAGAACTTCAACTATTTCTGAGCATCTTGGACAGGGAAAGGGGTACCTTTTCCTGATGGTCCTGTTTCTTTGAGTCTCTCACTATTGGTTCCTGCTTTCCCTCTGTGCCCACACATAGCATCCTGCAGAAGCCTGAAGGCAGAGCCTAGGATGCAGTCATGTTCAGTGAATGCCACTTAGATTATGAGAGAAGAGCAACATGCTCTTCTTCTTTGGTACTATGTCACACTGTTTTGTTTATCTGTGATCTCCTAACAAGCCTAACTTCAGAGACAACAGAACCCAGAGTCGGGGAAAGGAAAGGTTCACCCAAGGTCAACTGGAGCCCATCAGCTGCAAAAGAAAGACCAGAGCCTAGATGGGGGCATGTTCTGTTGGAGTGGTGGCTTCTGGAGGGCTGTCCTTCAGTTGAGGAGGCACCCCTTGCTCTGTATGCTCAGAGGCCTCTTTAGTGGGCTTAGGGTTAGGGTTCAAGTTGAGAGGCAGCAGTGAAGGTAGGAGGGCTGAAGGAGGCAATAATCCCACACCCTTGCCTAGCTTCAGAGGAGCTGGTGCTGAGGCAGTTGCCATGGTGACAACAGCTCCCTGGTCAGGAGATTTTCTCTTTCCCTCTCCTCCCTTTGCTCTTCTCCAAGCATCAGCAATGGCAGTAACAGCCAGGTCTTGTTCCTCCCCTCCATAATAAGCGAAAGTAACACCTGCAAGGTGATCTGGGTTGGCCACCTCCAATTTGGAGTTTTTCATGCCAGGGTGGTCCGTTGGTCTGGAAAAGACCCCTAAGAGAATGAACCTGCACGGTGTGTAGGAGGGAATAGTAACCTGTACCTAGGCCTGAGTAAAAAGGATGTCACTACAGTGAGGACTGGGGCCTCTCTGGTCCCCTCTGAGAAACGTCCTAATGGGTTAAGCTTTGTTTTTCTATAATCAGCTGCGGAACCAGAGTGTGTCAGAGTTGAAACGTTCAAGACCACCTCATCAACCTCCTCTACTCTGTTCTTTCCCACATCTCATGAAGAATCTGGGAGGGAAAAGACTTGGCAAAGTCAAGCAGCAACACAGGCAAGGGCAAGGGTTACCCCAGACTCTTCTGTGTTCAGACTCAGGGTAAGGAAAAAAACGAATCCACACGGAAGATGTAGAGCTTCAGCCATACAAAACACAGGAAGCGGAGAGAGGGAGCAGCCAGGCACGCAAAGGGCAGAGAAGAATTGGTTACAACAAGAGGGGAGGTGACTAGGGATGGAGAATGCAACTGTGGAATGGTCTCCTGGAAGGAGCATCTCTGCTTCACGATCCAGACAAGACAAAAGTAGTAGAATATGGAATCTCTGTCTAGCTTGGGGGCTGCTAGAGGGGTGCTGCTGAATGTGGCTGAGATAAGACATTGGGGGGGGGTCTACGTCCTTCCCTTGGGTACACTGTGAGCTTTCAGCATAAGGGACAGAGGTTGTGTGATCAGAGAATGATTTTGCTATGGAGTTGTCTTTGGGAACAGGACCCTGAGGGGTAAATAACAGTTAAATGTTGGTGTGGGTGTGGGCTACGTCCAGGTAGAGGTTTCCATGGAACTAGGCAAACCACCATCTCCAGAGGCAACAGGAGACAGACAGGGTGACTGAAGCCACCTCTAGCACTACCGGCACCACACACCCCCACCGTGTGTGTGTGTGTGTGTGTGTGTGTGTGTGTGTGTGCATGCACTGGGGCCTGAGGAATAAAGGTTGTTCTTACCTGAGCTGCGGGAGGGGGGGGGGCGACGGTAAGAAGGCAGCTGTACTGCCTTCCTTGAACTGGGGACCTGGCTCGAAGTGAAGGTCCCTTGCCCAAGGCGGGCCCTCCAGATGGCTGTCCACCTATGGCAGACCCAGGGTCAGGAAGACGGATCTGGCAGCTGAGGATGGGAGGGGAACGCGGAGGAGGAGGGGCTCAGGGCCTCCGCCCCGCGGGGTTGCTCCGAGGGCCCGGCCCCACCCGCATTACCTGAGGCCGCTCGCTGACTCGCTGGGTGGCTCCGAGCCTGGGCGGCCGCTGGGACAAGGCTGGCTAGCAGGCGGACGCCGGGCTCTGTAGGGTCCGCGTCGGAGCCGCCTTCCCAGCTCTTGTATCACTGTATCACTATGTGCTTCTCGAAGGCGGCACGATTTGCATAAGACCCACCCCCTCTTAAGAACCTTGGACATCGATAGGCTCAGCTGGCACCGAGTGACAGCCGGAGTTTCAGGTGGGGATGGGGTGGCCTGTGAGTCTGGGCCACAGGAGAGCGCCCCGCCCGTCCGCCCGCGCTGACCTTCCCCGGAGTCGCCAGGATTGTAGAGGGCTGTACCCCCATCTGTCCCTCAACCCTGAGGCTCAGAGCCTGGGTCACAGTTTGAAGAGAAAAGTACGGATGATTAAAGTGGATTCGCAAAAACAACCGCGCCGTTGCTATGGTAACAGAAGAACCACAGTTGAATCTCTAAGCCTTCTCTTCCTGGGCCCCAGCGGGGGTGGGGGTAAGAGAGGGGGTGATTCACAAGATGCGACCCCATCCCGTGTCCTACCGGAATCTGGAGGGAATCAATGAGGAGCTGCAGAATGGCACGGGGAAGGAGGGAGGAGATAGGGTGGTCAGGAGCTCGGGCCTTTGCGCCTGTGTGCCCCCTCCCACTATGAAGCCGAGGGGAGGGTGAGTGCAGCAAGAGCTGGGTGGATGGGGAAGTACCCTCTACCTAGACACAGGAGGGTGCGGGCTCCCGCCACCACCCCTACAACCTTAATTCAGACCCATTCTCAAGCTCTTTCCTTACTTCTCGAGGAACCCAAAGGAGTCTTTGGTTCTCCTCCAGAGGACCCTTCTACGTACCCCAAGGACCACTCCATTCCCCACCCTCCCTCATTCCCGTTGCTTAGAAGGAGCCGGTTCCCAGCCGCCGCCAGTCTCCGGCCTCGGATGTTGACACAACCCGGAGGCGGTTTACACTGAGTGGGTCTGGAAGGTTTCAGGGCAGCGAAAACGCCTCCTTCCCGTACTTGGGGGTCTCCCCACAGCCCGCCCAGCCGCCAGAGATGTATTGGTTTCTAAGAGCTCACAACCCAAGTTGGTGGAGAGGAGCTCTCCAATGCCAAACTCAGGGCGAAAGGGGAGCAGAGATCCTTGGGCTGGGCCACGTGCGGAGGAGGGACGTCAAGGGATCTATCAAAAGTGGGGGCGGGACGTGTGGGGATTGGTTAAATGGGATTGCAGATGCTGAAGAGCCACGGTGAAGAGGCAGGGTTTCTGTCCCAGCAGCAAATGTAGAGGTGGGCAGTACATTAGGGGCTGGGGATAGGCCTGCTACCTTGGCTTTTGGGATTGGTCTTAGAAACTCCCAAACCAAGCACACTGCGGGAGGTGGGGTGGGGGACCAGTGGGACCTCTGTCTTCATTATGAGCCACCCTGTTTCCTTTTAAGCCAGTTGCTCTGTCCTGTTCTAGCAGCTGAGTGTGTCTCCTCTTTGTGGCTGTAGCAAAGGGCTGGGGGCTCCATAGTCCCAAATTCATCCCTGGCACCTTTGGTTGGTGACTCATGATGGTGATTTCCAGGCACTTTCTGCGCTTTTGGCCCTGAAATAGTAGCAAGAGTGTTTGGTTACAGTTAGTCATAACCAATGCACAAGAAAGTGGGGAGAAGCATGGCTTTCTGGGAGTGATATTTGAAAACCTAAAATGGAGTCTGGTTGTTTCTAGGGTCCCTCATAGGATCTCAAGCAAGCCCTTTCTCATCCTGGACTTCTCAAGCTATAAAATGTGGGAGCCGGTACCAGAGACTCGGTGAAGTAGAGGAAGATTTGAGGAGGGAGATGCTGTTTTAGAATTATAGAGACATGAATTTGAGGGCTTTTCTTGGACTCCTGAGCCCCTAACAATAGCTTACTTTGTTAAAGATGACTGCTAGAACTTTACAACAGTGCATCCTTATTTGTGTCTTGGTTTCCATAATTTCCATCCCCTGCAATCAATCGAACTCCCAAATCACCAAATGGAAAAGTTCACAAATGTGGAATCTGTAAGTTTTAAGTTGTGGGCAGTTCTGATTACCCTCATGAAATCTCCTGCCATTCCTTTCTAGCCTTCTGTCCTGTTGGACCATCTTGTCCAGTGTATTTACAGAGAAGCTATAAAGTCTTCCTGTAAATGAAAACATGGAAGTTGTCCTCTTAAAAACAACACAATCATCCATCGATGGTTCCATCAATTAGGTAAAGCCTTCAAGACAAAGTTGCTTTCCCAAAGTCCTGCCTCTGAACATGGCATTAGGGAGCAAGCTTTCAATACATAACCTTTTTGAGATAAATTTCATGCCCTAGGTGGGTGGTGGTGGCTTATACCTTTAATCCCAGCACTCAGGAGGCAGGTGGATCTATGAGTTCAAGGCCAGCCTGGTTTACAACCAGGACTACAGAGAGGAAACCCTGTCTCAAAACTAACAAACAAAAAAGGCAACAACTCATTTAGGTTCTTGCATTACCAGTGTGCTGGCTATTGTTTTGTTAACTTGACACAAACTAGAGTCATTTGGGAAGAGGGAACCTCAATTGAGAAGATGTGCCCATCAGACTGGCCTCTTGGCAAGCTTTTAGGAACATTTTTCTTAATGCCTGGCGTGAGATACTGTTGGTGGTGCTATGCCTAGGCAGGCTGTCCTGGGTGGTGTGAGTAAGCAGACTGAGTAAGCCTTGGGGAGCAAGACAGTAAGTACCATTCCTCCTTGGCTTCTGCTTCTCTAGGTTCCTGCCCTGACCTTAGTGGTGGAGTGTGCCCTGAGAGTTGTGAGCTGAAATAAACTTTTTCCTCTCCAAGGTTTTTGGGTTTTGGTCATAGTGTCTTATCACAGCAATAAAAACCCTAAGGCATCCAGCAGTGGATGCTGGCTTTAGAGTCAATGAAGGTCTCAACTCTCTGTTCAGCCAAGAGTTAACACTTGACTTCTTGGATCAAGTGGGAACAGGCAAGGAGAGGTAAAAGTGATGGGACACAAAGGGCTATGGGAAATGTTTACCAATTCGTTTGGAAGTATTTTGAGTTGTTCAGAACCACTTGAGCTAAACTGGTACACAGGCAGCAGAGTTTCAGCCAGGAATTACTTCCTGTAGTGAAAAGAGACTCAAAGGTAGGGGGAAGGAGAAACAGCTTGTCTGTTATCACAGGGCTCATCAGCAACAAAATTAGAATCCCAACCTTGGTTTCAGTTCAGATTCCTCACTTGCCACCACTGACTGTCCTTTGTACTGCTGGGTTGGGGTCTCCTGTGAAGCAGCTGCAGACAAACGAGACAGCATTTCAATTTAAATTCTGGAACTTAGACTTGGGAGGATGAACCAGCCAGCAAAGTGTAAAAACCCAGGTGGGTGTTGTTTGTCTAGTCTCAGTGCTGGGGAGGCAGAGACAATGGGTCCCTGAGGCTCACTAGCCAGCTAGCCTATTTGGCTAGCTTGAGGCCAGCCAGTGACAGACACTGTCTCAACAACAACAACAACAACAATAATAATAATAATAATAAGGGGGCCAAAGAGATAGCTGAGTGATTAAGAGCTTGCTCATTTTCATCTAAAGGCCTTGAGTTTGATTCCCAGTGTCCACATTAGGTGGCTCACAACTGCCTTCAACTCTAGATCCCTCCTCTGCAGGGACCTGCACTCATGTCCTTATTTACCGCAATACTCATGCATATACTTATGTGCGCGCGCGCGAGCACACACACACACACACACACACACACACACACACACACACTTCATTACTATACAAATTTCTGAGTATCATGGTGCACATCTGCAATCCCAGCACTCAGGAAGCAGGGGCAGACCATCTCTGTGACTTCATTGTGAGTTCATTGCCAGCCTGGTCTACAGAGCAAGTTCTAGGACAGCCAGAGCTAGAGAGTGAGACCCTGTCAGTGATAACAACAACATACAACAACAACAATAATACAAAAAAATGTGACTGGGATCACATTAAAGGCATCCAACACTTTGGGCTCCCACATGCCAAAGCTTACACATGTGCACACACCTGTACACATACACAAACAAGTACAGACACACATACACTACATACACAGACTCAAAAATTCTGGAGCTTTGTCATGGCTCTGCTGCTCTTGGCCTTTCACTTTGGCAAACACCTGTTCTGTGGAGAAGGAAGTGGGGGACAGAAAAGGCTGTGTGGAAGGACAGTGTGGCTGTACAGGCATCCCTTAAAGGGGCTGTGCAGCCCATAGGGTTCTGGTTAGGAGACAGCACAGACTACTTCAGTTAGCTTTACTAAGAAGCCTTCAGTCCTCTCCCTCTGGGTCCGGCACAGTGCCATGTGACAGATGATGCCTCTCTGAGTCCCTGGGTTTTCTCCACCATGGCTAGTGCAACCTGGTGACAGCTGGAATTCCCTTGGGTCCTAGCTATTTCACTGTCTCTTTGTGTCTGGGAGAGAATGAGGTCACCAGGGCTGGTTCCTTCCTTTCCCCATATTTTCTAAGCATGACTTCAATTTTAATTTCTTAAGTGCAAATCAATCATTTCTGGTCTCTGTCCCTCTCTCTGACCCTCCCTACCCCTATCTATCTACTTCATCCCTCCTTGTTTCCATGCTAATATGAATCTTGAGCAAAGTATCTCTTGGCTGGCAATTGGCTAGTGCTGGCTTATTCCAGAGTGGTGTCCTAATGCCACTATCTATTCGTTCCTGTTATCTCAGTCCTCAGGAACCACTGTGGCACATGTCTTTTCCCAAACCTGTCTTTTCTGCCTTTCCTTAAACTTTTTAAGGCTACCCTACATCCCTTGCAAAAGTATTCTTTCTTCTTCCCACTATATCTTAGGCAGAAGTGGTTGCTGGTTTCTTGCAAAGGACATGTATGAGTTTCACCTGTTTCTCTATCTGTTATCGTGCTTGATTGCAAGTGACAGAAAACCCAGAACACAGTGGGTAAGGTAAAAACAGGTGAAAAATAGCTCAGGGTGGGTAAAATCCAGGAGTAGATTGGATTTTAGGGATAGCTGGACCCAGGAGCTTACTCAATATAAATAATATGCAACTGAGACTCGGCCTTGTTCTTAGTTTGCTTTCTTTCTTTCTTTCTTGAAACCA